TATAAAATAATAAACATAAATACAAATTAAATGTACATTTTGATTATACAATAAATAAGCAAATTCGTGAATAATAAAAAAAAACAACAACAACATGTTACTGATAATCAGAATCAGAAAAAAAGACATCTCTTTTCCCCTGAATGAAACCGCAATGTTATACTTTATAAAATACGTCTACCTGCAAAATCAAAAGCAACTTTCTATTTTAAATAATTCATTCATTAACTTCACCACAAAGGTAAAAGCACATGTTTTGATGGAGCCTTTTCTTCATTGAATGTATTGACATAGAAGGTTTCTCATTTCTCTAATTTCCCCTCCTCGACTCCTCGAATCCTCGGGCCTCCGGTAGTGACCCGGACATCTCATTTCTCTAACCGCCTGCTGCTTCCCCTCCTCTCTCCTCGGTTCCCCTCCTTTCTCCTCGGTTACCCTCCTCGACTCCTCCGCTCGCATCTCCTATGGGCGGGACTAAGACATGAGGATAGGAGTCGAGATGGGGGGTCGAGGAGGGGAGTTAGAGAAATGAGAAACCTTCGTAGTGTTTGAAATTGTTTACGTCAACACGTCCCCCCCGGTTATCAGTTTCTGAAACGTGATGCACAAACATCTGAGACGCTTCGTCAGCAGCTCGAGTCTCTCTATGTGTCGAGTGTTTACAATTCACTCACCGGTTTGAGTGCGATCTCATTGAGGAACAATGTAAAGGAAGTTCTTTAGGAAAACCCATCGGACAGAGCTAGCCTTCACAAGTGGAAAACACTAACGGAAACTGACTTGGACATTGATAGAAACATCCAAAGAGACATATTGATAATAATGAAATGCAATTAAATCATTCAAAGGTAAGAAAACCCAATTAATTAATACATTAAAATAAGTATGTGCAATGTTAATGCAATAAATAATATTAAATAAACAAACAAATACAACTTTAAAAATTTGGACCAATATTAAAAAATATATAAATATGATAAGATATACAAAGAAAACAAAAATAGAAAAGCAAAACATTAAAAATAAATAAAACAATACAAAAACTAAGATTAATTGTACAAATAAAATCCAATGAAATAATAAATTATGAAAAAGGAAACGTAGTGACCAATATTTCAAAGATACAGTGTAATAAATTGTGACTAAAGCTGAAGCTGTAAATGAGACTGTAAATACCTCGGAGGAAACTGATCTCCATCCTCCGGTGACCCCGCTGAAGAAGCAAAACAAGACCCCAAAACATGACCTTTGACCTCAGCTGAAGGCATCACGACAGAAAACTCCCACGTAAACAAATAACCTTCCTAAGGCTTTAATAACCTCTTGTTTGCCTCCTCTCACTTAAAAAGATCAGAGCATTTATTTAAGTTTATATTTCTTTGGAGGTATTTCATGTATTTTCTATAGACCCGTTTTCTCAGTAGCTATGAAGGATCCCAGGAGCTAAACTAGTCTAAAGATAGGTGTTGTGGGTTTGCTCTACAGTTTAGTATTTCAGACGGTACAGTATTTACCCTCAGATCCTGTTTCAGAGCTCAGCGAGGACAAGCTGACAGACTGACTTCCTGCTACGGAGTTTAAACCTGAGTTTCATGAAATAACAAAGACTTGTAAAGGTTTACGGGGATGCAGACAAGAGGAAATTAATTCAATGTTATATGGGCTTTTCGATGTTGAACTCGGACGTCAATTCTGTATTGATATTGTGTATAATTGGCTAGAGATACTCGATAGATATACATCTTTCACTGTCAATATGTATATATTTGTTCCACTGTTCATAACTATGTATTTACTTTCTATCAGAGGTGGAGAAGTACTCAGATCGTGTACTTGAGTAAAAGTAGAAGTACTCAGATCTTGTACTTGAGTAAAAGTAGAAGTACTCAGATCTTGTACTTGAGTAAACGTAGAAGTACTCAGATCTTGTACTTGAGTAAAAGTAGAAGTACTCAGATATTGTACTTGAGTAAAAGTAGAAGTACTCAGATATTGTACTTGAGTAAAAGTAGAAGTACTCAGATCTTGAACTTGAGTAAAAGTAGAAGTACTCAGATCTTGTACTTGAGTAAAAGTAGAAGTACTCAGATATTGTACTTGAGTAAAAGTAGAAGTACTCAGATCTTGTACTTGAGTAAAAGTAGAAGTACTCAGATCTTGTACTTGAGTAAAAGTAGAAGTACTCAGATCTTGTACTTGAGTAAAATTAGAAGTACTCAGGTCTTGTTCTTGAGTAAAAGTAGAAGTACTCAGATATTGTACTTGAGTAAAAGTAGAAGTACTCAGATCTTGTACTTGAGTAAAAGTAGAAGTACTCAGATCTTGTACTTGAGTAAAAGTAGAAGTACTCAGATCTTGTACTTGAGTAAAAGTAGAAGTACTCAGATCTTGTACTTGAGTAAAAGTAGAAGTACTCAGGTATTGTACTTGAGTAAAAGTATACGTACCTGCATTTTGTTGTACAATGACACAAGTTATTTGTCTCCTTTGTACTTTCTGTAATGAGGGAACGTGGAGGAGAGGAAAGATGTTGGACAGAAAGTAAATACTTATTTCCTGGTACTGTTGGTGTCCTTTGGAGGTCACCTGAGTTCACTGTCGGAGGATATTCTCATTATTTGCAACAGGAATTGAGACAAAAAGTCAAATGAAACAATGCAAACTGAGTCAAACAGAGACATTGAGTCTGTGGGAATAATGTGATAACAGTCTGCTACTTTTCTATTCTTAAAATGTGTTGCCTTTGAATCTGTAAATCAAGAAGGTGTTTATTCAGCGTGTCAGCAGATGTGTTGGGGATGAAAGTAGAAGGGAATGCATGTTGTTGCTTATTTACTTCCTGTCTCCAGCTGCAGCTCAAACGTGCGCTCCTCTGGTAATTTTCCATCAAGTGGGAAAATGTGTCGGCTGTTATCAGTGTCTTATCAGAGGGGGGGGAGGAGGAGGAGGAGGAGGAGGAGGAGGAGGAGGAGGAGGAAGAGGAGGAAGAGGAAGAGGAGGAGGAAGAGGAGGAAGAAGAGGAGGAAGAGGACTTCTTCAAAAATACAGTGAAACATTAACTGTGGTGATTTAATGGGAAAGAATGTCATCTCTTTCATTTCCCGTTAACTTGCTTTGAGGAGAAAATCCTTTTTCTGTATTAGCGTTAATAAGTACTCAGAACTTATACTTGAGTAAAAGTAGAAGAACTCAGAACCTATACTTGAGTAAAAGTAGAAGTACTCAGATCTTATACTTGAGTAAAAGTAGAAGTACTCAGAACCTATACTTGAGTAAAAGTAGAAGTACTCAGATCTTATACTTGAGTAAAAGTAGAAGTACTCAGAACTTATACTTGAGTAAAAGTAGAAGTACTCAGAACTTATACTTGAGTAAAAGTAGAAGTACTCAGAACTTGTACTTGAGTAAAAGTAGAAGTACTCAGATCTTATACTTGAGTAAAAGTAGAAGTACTCAGAACTTGTACTTGAGTAAAAGTAGAAGTACTCAGATCTTGTACTTGAGTAAAAGTAGAAGTACTCAGATCTTGTACTTGAGTAAAAGTAGAAGTACTCAGATCTTGTACTTGAGTAAAGTAGAAGTACTCAGAACTTGTACTTGAGTAAAAGTAGAAGTACTCAGATCTTATACTTGAGTAAAAGTAGAAGTACTCAGATCTTATACTTGAGTAAAAGTAGAAGTACTCAGAATTTATACTTGAGTAAAAGTAGAAGTACTCAGATCTTATACTTGAGTAAAAGTAGAAGTACTCAGATCTTATACTTGAGTAAAAGTAGAAGTACTCAGATCTTATACTTGAGTAAAAGTAGAAGTACTCAGATCTTATACTTGAGTAAAAGTAGAAGTACTCAGATCTGCTACTTTAGTAAAAGTAGAAGTACTCAGAACTTATACTTGAGTAAAAGTAGAAGTACTCAGATCTTATACTTGAGTAAAAGTAGAAGTACTCAGATCTGCTACTTTAGTAAAAGTAGAAGTACTCAGAACTTATACTTGAGTAAAAGTAGAAGTACTCAGAACTTATACTTGAGTAAAAGTAGAAGTACTCAGAATTTATACTTGAGTAAAAGTAGAAGTACTCAGATCTTATACTTGAGTAAAAGTAGAAGTACTCAGATCTGCTACTTTAGTAAAAGTAGAAGTACTCAGATCTTATACTTGAGTAAAAGTAGAAGTACTCAGAACTTATACTTGAGTAAAAGTAGAAGTACTCAGATCTTATACTTGAGTAAAAGTAGAAGTACTCAGATCTTATACTTGAGTAAAAGTAGAAGTACTCAGAACTTATACTTGAGTAAAAGTAGAAGTACTCAGATTTTATACTTGAGTAAAAGTAGAAGTACTCAGATCTTATACTTGAGTAAAAGTAGAAGTACTCAGAACTTATACTTGAGTAAAAGTAGAAGTACTCAGATTTGATACTTGAGTAAAAGTAGAAGTACTCAGATTTTATACTTGAGTAAAAGTAGAAGTACTCAGTGTGTGCGTGTGTGCGTGCGTGTGTGTGTATAAATAAAGCTACTGGTACATAATAGATATGGTATTTTAGGGTACATATATTTGATTGTTGTCTCTATCACAGTATAGTCTCACTTATAGTCTATATTATACATTGTGTCTATACTGTATACTCTGTACTTATATTTCTGCTGTTCATATGTTCATATATTACCTCGTGTGAATTGCCTGACTCAAAATGTGGGATAAAGAGTAATCATCAAGTGTTATTTATGTAGCCCAATAAACAAATGACATGTATTTCTAATGATATACATACAGTGTATTTAAACCAACAAAGTACTGACTTTAAAACACAGAGTTTAGGCTCCTTTAAGAGATGTACAGTGTATCACAGTCTCATGGCTCATTTCCATCCCTCTCATCCATAGGCTGTGTGGCTGTGGAAAGCTCTCCCCTGATTGGCTAACACAGCTATCCTTCAGAAGGGAACTCTGCTCTGATTGGCTGCTGCTGCCAACCTGCTAAAGTAGTTCTCTTATGAAAGCAGTCACTCTGAAGTATCTCTTTTTGTGCTCTCAGAAACAGATCTGTCGGATACTTTGTGAATAAAACACCAAACCTTTGAGTGTGTGAGAGGAAGAGAGAGGAAGAGAGTTGATGAGAGGCGGGAAGTGAAGGGTCTCGGAGAGAAGATGCAGACCTCCAAGAGCTTTCGGATGGATGACTTTTTCGCAGGAATGATAGGCGGTGAGTGACATCAAGTTATTTCCAGCTTTCTGTTAATGAAAGGCTGTTTCCCAGTGTGTCAGAGAGCTCATGCACTCAATGGTTTTTATAAAGCTGCAAAAACATTACAATTAAAATATATGAAGGTTGTATTTACCATACAACTGCTGCAGTGTAGTATTTGCAAGGAACATGTTAATCATCCTCCAACAATGCAACATACGATAACATACAAGTACAATACCTGAAACAAGTTGCACAATATGTTCATTTAAAACGAAATAACACGAAGCAGAATGTAAAATTAAAGAAGGTGCAGTATTATAGCTAAGGTGCATGGAGGAAAACAGGTTTAAAAGCACCCATAAACTGCTATGTTCGTGCTTTTGCAGAAGAACATGCTGTGTTGACAAAGCAGGGCTTGCAGACCCCCCCTCACACAGATAGATAAACACACACACCTCCAGTGTGTTACCCCAGAAGTGAGATAAAGCCATGGTTGGTGTGTTACATGTGACTGCTCAGCGGATTGGAGACACTTCTATTTGACTTAAAAAGCGTGTTTAAAGAGAGTGGGTGCAGGGACAGGTCCCGCCGCTAGGGTTAGGATTGGATTTGAGTGAATAAACTGAAAAGTAGGACATGTTGTTAAAATGATCACAAAGAAAGAAAGTTGTGGAAAGAAATAAGATGATGATGATCTGTTGTGAATGCTGCAGAAGTTCCTGTAACATGATGGCTTTCAATGGATTGAAACAATAGCAGTGAGCAAACACATAAACACAAAATGCAAAATGTTGCCCATATTTTGCACAACAAGTTCCCTCGGATTAAATAAAGTCTTAATCCTAGTTTCGATGTTATTTTATCTTTATCTCGTCTTGTTTAAAATGGTTTTCTGCAGCACCTCTTGTCTGTAAACTGATCTGGTGTCAGTGTTTGGGGCTTCATTCATAAAAAGGATAATAAATCTGCTCTTTTGTTTGTTGCTAGGCAGAAACAAAGGATGCGAGCAGCGACAAACAGGCCGTTTAGAGGCTGCTGCTAAACTACTAACAAAGTGTTCTTATTTGAATCACAACATATAACACGATAGGAATTCCAGATGAAATCATTGCGTTACATCTGTAGATATCACGATAGGGCTGATCAATTCATCGTATTTTAATTGCAATAACGATTTTGGCTTGCAACGATTATGAAAACAACAGAATCGAAATAAAACGATTTTTAAAAAAAAAAAAAAAGTGTTTTTCAGTTGAATTAAAGTTCAGGGTAATCAACTGTTCAAAACATACGGTTCACTTTTTTTTTCAATAAATGGATGTTTTCAAAGAAAGTTTTTAATAATCGTGATATTCCAATCTTTATTCCAGACTCAAGGTCCATATCACACAAAAAGACAAAACACACATCAATAAATAAGATAAAAAGCTAAACAGATAAAAAGCTAAACAGATAAAAGCATAACATCAGTCCAATCACAGCGAGCCACACATGCTCACTGTCTGTAGAGGCTGCTGCGCCAATGTCTCCAAATCATGGAAGAGAACCGGGTAGAACTCTTCACAGGGTTAATTAAAATCGAAATAACATAATTGTCCGAGTCTACTAGGCGACACATGAATTTGTACATGAATTTTCTTAAAAGGGCTTGACAGGTAGGTACCCCCAAGTTAACAAACAGCTGGCTGGCACTGTGCCGTCTCGGTACCCTCAGCAGCAACCGTAAAGCATCATTGTATGCAACTTTTAGTTTTTGCATGCTTCTAGCCTTGTAGTTACTCCACAGGTGAGCCGTGTAGTTACTCCACAGGTGAGCCTTGTAGTTACTCCACAGGTGAGCCTTGTAGTTACTCCACAGGTGAGCCGTGTAGTTACTCCACAGGTGAGCCGTGTAGTTACTCCACAGGTGAGCCGTGTAGTTACTCCACAGGTGAGCCGTGTAGTTACTCCACAGGTGAGCCTTGTAGTTACTCCACAGGTGAGCCGTGTAGTTACTCCACAGGTGAGCCTTGTAGTTACTCCACAGGTGAGCCGTGTAGTTACTCCACAGGTGAGCCGTGTAGTTACTCCACAGGTGAGCCGTGTAGTTACTCCACAGGTGAGCCGTGTAGTTACTCCACAGGTGAGCCGTGTAGTTACTCCACAGGTGAGCCTTGTAGTTACTCCACAGGTGAGCCTTGTAGTTACTCCACAGGTGAGCCTTGTAGTTACTCCACAGGTGAGCCTTGTAGTTACTCCACAGGTGAGCCTTGTAGTTACTCCACAGGTGAGCCTTGTAGTTACTCCACAGGTGAGCCTTGTAGTTACTCCACAGGTGAGCCTTGTAGTTACTCCACAGGTGAGCCTTGTAGTTACTCCACAGGTGAGCCTTGTAGTTACTCCACAGGTGAGCCTTGTAGTTACTCCACAGGTGAACCTTGTAGTTACTCCACAGGTGAGCCGTGTAGTTACTCCACAGGTGAGCCGTGTAGTTACTCCACAGGTGAGCCGTGTAGTTACTCCACAGGTGAGCCGTGTACAACAGAAAGCTTTAAAAAGTGATACCTTGACATCTACAGAGCACTTGTGAAACTTACGCATTAATATGTTTGCCTGGGCATACAGTTTGCAGCGCTGTCTATGGATGTCTTTGTCATCTGTGAGATCATCAGAAATATAATGACAGGTACTTGATCTCACTGCACACAAGTAGAATGTTGCTACTGAGAATAAAATGAGGAAATACAGCCTTTTTATCCTCTTTACTTCGTACAATCATGATGTTACTCTTCTTGGCGTTATACTTAATATTAAAATCAATGCCATTCTGGGAACAAGTGCTCAGATATCAATTATTGACCCAAATAATTGAGATTATGATGTTTGCCATAATCGAGCCGCCCTATCTCACGATATGATGAATGATCAGTTTTTTTCCCATTATTAGGAAAGATTTGCGGATTTCTTTTGACAATTAAATATATTAGAAAATACTTTTAAAAAAAAAAGCAACCTTGTTTATAAAAAAAACTTTAAAATGTTGAATGTTCTACAAGTGAACTTTTGCTGTGGACTTCCTCACTCTGTACTGTGACTGACGATGTAGCGCATAACTACCACTTCATTTCAGATAAGCTGCACACAGTCAGTTGGAATATTCTTATTTGATTTCCCTTTTGTGTTTGTATTGTTTTATAATAACACCTTTTTTACAACGGTGCTCTACTTGCACCACCTAGCCTCTCTTACTCTGTTAATCTATACACTGTTATACACCAAAGCAGATTCCGTGTATCCTTGTCTTGCTTTATACATTGTGTTGTATCTGTATATGGGACACTGTATTTGTCCTCACTTGACCTGTAATAACTTAATCACACATTTGGACACTTTGAAACAAGAACATGTCTATTACTGCATTCTTTTCAGTTGTGTGAGTGAGGCTTCTTTCCTCCTCATGCTGTGGAAAACACACACACACACATACACACACACACACACACACATATACCATGTATACATCACTTCAGGGGACATTACATTGACTTTCATGCATTTCCTGGAGACTTATCCTAACCTTAACCATAACCAACACATGCCTAACCCTAACCCTTACCCTTAACCTTACCCTAACCCTAATCCTAATCCTAACCAAGTCTTCACCCTAACATTAATGATTCCCCTCATGGGGACCTCCATTTTGTCCCCATAAGGGAAGCCACACGTGACTGTGTAAACAGATTTAGGTCCCCACAAGTATAGTAATGCTAGGTCACACACACACACACACACACACACACACACACACACACACAGGGTTAATCAGGACACAAAGGCTTGTTTTCGCCCCAGAGGCCCCATGATGGCAGCACAGTGTGTTTCTGTACCCTGCAAACAACCAAACTCTACATCCCACACAACGGAAACACACCGATACATTTTAATGGCAACAGGTGCAACACAAACAAACTATTTTATTATAATATGCACAATTACATAGAAGCAGGGATGTCAGACTCCCTCCAACAACGCAAATTAAATATTTATAAGTGAAAATGAATCACGCAGGTGGAAGCAAAAGGAGATTCTAAGACAGTAAATATTGTAAAATATAATAAAACAAATTGACATTGAAACAGCCATCATATACTGTATGTAATGTGCATTTAAAATATATTTACGTTTCAGTCATTTATATCCTAAAAAAGGAAAAACAACCTTTCCCCAGTGTTTAGTCTAAACCAAAATTCAGATGTTCCGTCAAATGTTAAAGTGATGCCAGAAAACAATGATATCTTGTCAAAAAGAGCGTCAGACGGCAGAGACAGCTTTGTTTTACAGAGCTCCGACGTCAAGTTGTTGTTGTTTACGTCCGCGGCGCCATCTTGTATACGGGCGTCATGTTCTTATCAGAATTGATATATCTTATAAACAAGATCAGCGCCACAGTACTATATCTTTATAGACATACCCCTGCTTTTCCTTATCACAAACACTCTTTTCTAAAGCACTAATTGTTGTCCTTTGTTTGTTTGTTTGTTTGTTTATCTGCAGGAGCTTCCAGTGTGGTTGTGGGTCATCCTCTGGACACAGTGAAGGTATCTGAGAATAATATAAACACATCTTTACCAAACGGTCTGCTCCTGGGTTTATAAAAGACAACAGGGGGAGGCGTGTGGCGCAGTGGGTTGTGCGTTGGTGTTGGGGTCAGATGTTCACAGGTTCAAACCCCACTGCAGTCAGCATGTCGTTGTGTCCCTAAGACACTTCACCCCAAAGTGCTCCTGTGGGGATTGTCCACAGTATTGAACATGTAAGTCGCTTTGGATAAAAGCGACTAACAAGTGATGTAATGTAATGTAACTACAGAAGATGTTTGTTTGTCTCGCACACTGTTTTATTTGTTGTTGTGTAAGAACAGTTTATTGTTGCTTTGCCATGTTGAACACATTATTTAATGAGTAATTCATGCTGAGAGGATGTGTGGTAGGGCTGCACGACATATTGTGTCGTGACGATAATCGCGTTATGAGCATGCATTGACATCGCAGGACGTGCGATTAAAAAAAAAAAAGTAAATATATATATTTTTTTAGGACGTGCGAGATTAAGTAGGCGAATGAACCCTCAAACATGTTACAATTATTTTGCTGCTTGCTACAAAAGGAAAACTTGAGCGACTCATGTCAGGGGTACCTGAGTGCGTGACATGTCAGCAAACCACCATCACAACCGTTCTTGATCAGATCACAGCAGGATAACCGAGCTAGCTCAGCTTGTTGCTCTGATAACTTAAGATCCAGACGTCCGTGACTAAAATCCTTCATCCGGTTAAATATCGTTAAAAAAATACCAATTTCATTAAAGTTCAAGAAAGGATGGTTTGCGGACAAAAAAACGGTCTTTTCTTCAATTCCTGTATTTTTTCATATCACAGGGGAAGAACATATCGCAATGTCAGTTTTTTCCAATATCGTGCAGCCCTAATGTGTGGTAACTCAGGCAAAATCGCCATCCTGAAGTAATGAGCTTAAAGTGAGGCGTTTTTTGTTTTTGATCTGTACATTTTCTTTGTATTTTGTTATGAAACTGTTTATTCTTCCTCCTGCAGACGAGGCTCCAGGCGGGGAAAGGATACAAGAACATGCTGCACTGCATCCTCACCATCTACAGGAAGGAGACGGTAAGCATCAAACTCCATAAAAGCAGTTGGTGTAGGGAAGACGGATTTTTGTAGGCTGACCTTGAATGTAGCATCTCCCTGGTTCTTTCCAGAAAAGCAATGGGATTTTTGAAAGTTGCCTAAAATAAGAATTGTGGCAAACACGCATTTATGATACTTAAAAGTGTTGTTAAGCAGTATAATCTTCCACATATTAACACACTTTATAATTTCTGAAGTAAAAAGCTAACGTTATAGAGGAACTACAGCACGGTCACATGACTTCACGTCACCACCGCTAAGCTAAAGGAGGCTAATGTTGGGCTATAAAGGAACTAAAGCACGGTCACATGACTTCACGTCACCACCGCTAAGCTAAAGGCGGCTAATGTTGGGCTATAAAGGAACTACAGCACGGTCACATGACTTCACGTCACCACCGCTAAGCTAAAGGCGGCTAATGTTGGGCTATAAGGAACTACAGCACGGTCACATGACTTCACGTCACCACCGCTAAGCTAAAGGTGGCTAATGTTGGGCTATAAAGGAACTACAGCACGGTCACATGACTTCACGTCACCACCGCTAAGCTAAAGGTGGCTAATGCTGGGCTATAAAGGAACTACAGCACGGTCACATGACTTCACGTCACCACCGCTAAGCTAAAGGTGGCTAATGCTGGGGTATTTGCTGACATATTAGAGCAGGAGCTACTTTTATTGGAAAAGCCTTAGCAACACTGCACAGAAAATGCATTTTGTTTTCCACAGTTACATTGGTTGTTCTACTTTCTGCAGTAAAAACAACACATTGATCCTCTTTGGGAACTGGGCATGGCTAATGATCTCTCTATTGTTGGCTCAAATCAATTTGTTCTTTTTGTTTTGATGCCTCAATGACCCAGTTTCTCAGCAGGACTTTGTAAAGGTTAATTTCATTGTGGCATTAACTAGAGGTGGAAAGTACATGTATTCAAGTACTGTCCTTAACTACAAATTAAAGGTACCGTCTTTCCTTGAGTATTTTGTTTCTGTGCCACATTATACTTCTACTCCACCTTTGACTTCTCTACATGTTTGTACTTTATAGATTCAGATTTGTACACACACAACTTGGGCCAAACCTTTTACT